GTGTGTGTGTGTGTGTGTGTGTGTGTGTGTCCCTCAGTTGTGTTCAGTTTTTGTGGAGGACAGAGGACAGAGTTCAGCTTCCTGACAGGCTGGGAGCTGAAGCGGTCCAGTTCTTCAGGCCTGATGGTCCTCAGACTCCTCACAGATGGCTGGAGACCAACATGCTGAGTTTAACTCAGAGTTAAATATGAACAAAAGRCTCTGATGGAGCAAACCTGCAGGATGGGGGTCCTTCACGACCAGGGTTTTGAMCCTGCTCTGACATTTACAATATTATTGCATTATTGTTGCAGCTTTTCAGCAAAACTTTAATTTAATTTGAAAAGATTTTTTTTTCTTTTATTTGACTTTTATTTGACAGTAAATGATATTTACTGTCTGAGTTTTATAAAACTGTAGGCTGCAGATTAAAAACTGGAGGTTGTTTTTAGGCATTTGTCTCGTRCAGTTTGTGAGACGGTTCTGTTTCTCACTGTGAATGTTTGAAACAAACGAACAAACATTCTGAAGTTTCTAACRTGTCTCCAAACATTCACAAGGATTTCTTATTTTCGGTGATTTAGTTTTATGGAGGAGTTGTCATCATGTTCTAAAATAGTCAAACATCAGAAATCTTTTTAATTTTTGTCTTCATTTCTAAACCTGGAAATGTGGGATYAGTATTAACTACAGTGTGGATCGAGCTGCACAACAAAATAATGTGCATGGCCAGGAATAGAGTTTTCATTTTGTGCACAGAAAAAAAGATCTAAAAAAAATCAGATGAAAGCTGGAAAGACTTGGTTAACTGGACAGTTTCTGCAGTTTGATGTTGGTTCATTCATTAAAATCTGTTCTCTGATTTGACAAAAGAGAAATCTTGTTCTGACCTCCATCTCTCTAATAGTGTGTTGTTTCTTACAGAACTTTGGTGAAACTAGACAAATGTTATTTTAATCTGCAGCTGAGTTCCTCTGATTCCTTTGGAATGAAGTCAAAACACAGTGTTCTTGTTTCTTCTGTATAATTMGTGAAGGTCTGCGATCAACAGAATTCTGCTCTGCTTTTACAGTTCATGGAGCAGAACTGCCAATAAAGCTGACTTTGGCTTTATTCTCAATTAATTTGCACTAATTGCTCCRGTTTTCTACGACTGCTGTTCTCAGAATAAATAAATCAAACTCAGACACGATCACAGAGCTGCCTGATTGAAACGATGGAAAACGATCTTTCAGCTGTGAGATGGTTCAACAGTTTGAAGTCACATCAGTTCAGATCCAGTCAGAACAAACAGGAAAACACTGATGTCTCATGTTCAAACTAAGGTTGTACACTGAGTTCATGCTGTCTCCTGATGTTGCTCCTCTCCCTCTGCAGGTCATTCTGATGCTGACCAAACTCTTCGACTTCAACCTGAACAGTGTGACGGAGAGTTCATTATGGAGGTAAGCTCATCTGCAGCCGAGCCCACAGCGCTTCTCATTTTAACACCATAAATTGGTGGGAGAGGACCGGCGGCCCCGACCTTTCTGATGTCTTTAATCCTGCTCGGAGCCGTGCTTTTAGGAACAAAGTTTCACATTTAGTCCTAATGAGGATTAATAAGAACTGTGACTGAATCGGCAGCCRGATATCTCTTACGTGCTCACATGAGCTAATCAGCAGCACTGAAGCTGGAGGTGTTCTCCTGCAAATCACCTCCACCTCCTCGTTAGTGCTGTCTCTCAGGCTCTGGATTCAAAAAAGGAAAAACTCATGGTTGTACTAATGCATCAAGAACAGACCCTCTGCKGCCTGCTCAGGGGCGGAGTCAGAGGGGTGGCCAGGGTGGTCACCTCCAGGTGCCACCCCCAAATGAAGTTGGGGTGAGTATTGCATTTGGCAATAAAAGATGGTCAGTTTGTATGGAG